GAAAGCAGAACTTGGCTAAGGAATTTAAAAAGCCTCAGAAGTTACAGATGGGGAAAAGGAAGATTCCAGCTGTAAAGGAGCTCTTGTGTCAAAACAGGAGCAATTGCTAAGTTGTGGTTAAAAGGACACAGTGCCCACTAACTGACCCTCTGGTAAGTATCTGGAAGCAAGAGAAAAGAGATGTTGTGGTTAAACTGGCCAAAGTATTTATAAGGGTCACAGGTATGAATGTCTGGAAAACTGAGAAATAGCTTAGGTGTAACAATTTTAGGATAGAAAGCGGTTTCCGGTTTTGGCGCTTTAAACGATGGCTGCATCTCTGGGTTCCTCCGAGAGACGTGTGCCATGAATCGGGGATTAGGAGGGGGCGTGATGGTGCACCCTCCCCCATGAAGCCCATAGGCAATGGGCTTCTAGCCAGGGGGCTTTGGAGCGCCCTACCTCCAGCCAGTAGCTGGTACAGGGGGGCTACTCTCTGCCCTGAAGGTCCTACCCTGATTCCCAGTAATGGACTAGAAGCAACCACCAGAACAAGCATTTGGAGGTTTAGCAATTTTCTCTGCCTGGCATGATCCCAGGGGCCCCTTTAGGACCTGGTGGATCGATTCAAGGATTGATGAGTGAGTTGCCGTTGAAACAAGACACTAAAGCCTAGAAGTGAAGTCCCTCTACTATAAGCGTATAAATGGAGGGGGGGAGGGGACGCCCTATCTCCTGACGTTTTAAACAAATGCGAAAGCAAGGATGTAGACTCTCCCTCCCCAATTTCTGTTGTAGTTTTATAGAAATGCAAATAAAAAATTCCCCTTTGGGGGGGCCAAAAAAAAATTAGGATAGAAAGCAATATGCAGAGTTAGTCTGAAGGAAGGTGAAACAGAAGTGATTAGGGGTTGCTAAATTTTGTTTAAGCTTTTTCTTCATATGTACACATGAAACTATCCTTGCCTCAGATAAGGTGAAGTCAGAATACGCACAGAAGGAACTGTTGCAAGGGGATGGTGTAGATGAACTTTTGATCTCCCCACTGAAAGCAACAGAAATGTTTGGGTCATCTAACCAATGGAAGATCAGAGCAATCTAGAGAGAGATGAGCACAGAGAGAAAAAACACCATTCAAAGAAACCAAACTTGTTTTTATGGTCTCAGTCCACAGCAGGAGTAAAGCTAAGCACAACCATGGATGCTAGCTTTCTGTTTGCCATTCCTGAAAGGGCCAGATGTGCTTTCAGCCTCTGAAGTGACTGACTGGCCAGCCTGTACTTTCAGTCTGGTACCCTTAATTCCTTTGGGTGATGCAATGTGCTGAGTTTTGTATGCCTTTACTGAGTTATTAGCTGTTACTAGTGGAGTGTACCATTGTGTTGAATAAACCAGTTAGATTTGTTAACTCTAACCTGATATGTGTGACTGGTCTTGCTCTAAAAAGAGTTCTAAAAAGAACCTACAGCACTGCTGTCTAGTCAGCAGAGTTGAGCTAAGAGAAAGAAGAACAGCCACCAACTTCTCATTTCTTCTCTTTTGCTGGCGGGCAACTAGGAAGAGTTTTAAGACAGAGTTACATTTTTACCCAGCTTCGCCTTCCTTTCTCCCTGGCTGAGCTCCAGGTTGTCTTGGAATTTTGTGAAGAGTGACTGAAGCCACAACCAGGATAATCATAGCACCCAGGGCTGGCCATGAATTGTACCTGTATGTCTCCCTCTCTTTCCCACAACAGCTTTAGAGGAGGGGTTAAAGACAGGGGAACTGGCATGGGAGCAAGGGTCTCTCTCTCACACACACACCCCCACACCCATTTCCCAGTGTTGTTTCTCCAATCAAATTCAGAGTTTGCTGCAGCTACTTTAAAGGAAGAATAAAAATATTTAGAGTGTCAATCTTCTGCATGATACGAGGCCTAACCTGATGTCTTGGTACCTTAGTGACTATTAATGCCTACCTCTTTGCCATGTTATTGTAGAAGGGTCTATGTCAAGTCGCACAAATTTGTGAATCTCCTCTGCTGTTAAAGTGTCAGGATCCGTGTTACTTATTCCCAGCCGCTAGGGGAAAAGAATCAGAGACGTTGATTAGAAAGTTCCAGAAATGTACAGAGGACTCAAGACTCAAGAGCCACCCTCAGGGCATGCTGTTCCTGTCATGGTCACAATAGTGGGTGCAGAAGAGGCCACATAACTCCTGCCATCACATGCTGAGCTCAGTGCAGTGCAGCTGTCGCTATCTATATATCCAACTAGGAAAAAGGCCTGTTGTGGAAATAAATACAACGGCCTCTAGAAAGAGGCTCTGGGTGGGTGCTCCGGCCTTGGACACTCAGTATCAATTTGCTGTGTCCTCAGCAGGGTATAATGACACTGTCCACCATTTTCTCCAGAGGAACTGATCTCTGCTACCTAAAGAACAGTTGTAATTTGTAACAGAAGGGAATAGTTGGTTTGGAGGGTGGAGTCTATGGCTTTGTACCTGTCCGAGGTCCCACGCCTCCTGAAACCTCACCCTCTCCAGGCTCCATCCATCACCTCTCCAGGAATTTCCCACCTGGAGTTGGCAACCCTATCTCCTTACCAGCCAATCATCAACCTACCTTTATTTCCCCCTCACTCTTCAGCTTTCCACCCCCCACACACCTGCAGCCTCTCCCATGCTCTGAAGCCCTGACTGTTACGTCACATTGGCTGTCATATGGGGGCCACCTCAGCAGCATATAAGGATACAGAGCCCACCATTTTCTCCAGGGGAATTGATCTCTGCCATCTGGAAAGCAGTTGTAATTCTGAGGGATCTCCAGCCCTCACCTGAAGATTGGACACATTTTACCTCAGAACAGAAAACTGTTTAGAATGTTAGAGGCAAAAACCAATCAAGTCGTATATGCAAACGACCTCTGTGTTCCGAGGCAAAGGTCAATGAGGCTGCATATGCAAATAAGGGCTCACTCTCCCCCAACAGCTTTTTCTACATAGTCAGTAGACTTCCTATGTCTGCAGAAAAATCCAAAAAGTAAAAAAATCCCTTCAGTGAGGGTTGAATTCCTCCCAATACCTTTTGAAATGGCCTCTGCGGGGCTCTAACTCCAGACATCAATGGTGAGAGATTAGAACGTTCAGGGCGGCGGGGAGGAGGCTTCTAACTGGCTCTGTCAGTAAAAGGGTGGGGGTCTGGGGGAAGGGCCTTTTCCTGGCCTCTTTTGGCCTTTGGCCCTAATTGTTAGCTGCCCTGAGCCTGAGGGAAGGGCGGGATATAAACTGAATAATAAATAAATATAAATAAATTTGAGGGAGGGAGCCTTGGGGCCAGGCCTGACAAGGGTTGCCAGTGCCAGGCTGGGGAATCCCTAGAGGTTTTGAGGTAGACTGTAAGAAGGGCTGGGTTTGGGGAAGGGAGAAGCCTCGGCTGGGTATAATGCCACAGAGTCTACTTCAAAGCAGCCATTTTCTGCAGGGAGACAGATCTCTGCTGTCTTGAGTTCAGTTGTAATTCAGGGGGGGCGGGAGGCCCTCCAGGCTCCACTTAGAGGTTCTAGCAACAAATAAATATACACTGCAAAAACCTTATAACAAACTAACGTGTTCTATTTATAATCATTATTTAGTAAAGTGCATACTGTATCATTATTTCATCCTAGTCAGGTATAAATATTCATTATATTCAATAAGCAATAACATTCAGTACATACAGATTGATAACTACCAGACCATTTTGCATCAGTGTTTTAAAAGTCAAGCCCCAACGGGAGTTTCCAGAACTAAAAGCCCGCTTCTCTTTGCATTCAGTCTTCCAAAAAGGGGGACAGCTTTCTTAATAGGTTGTATGGATGCTTTTATTTCTTAACGTCTAAAAACTATTAAATTACTCTATTTATTTAGATTTGTACCCCAGCCTCCCCGCCATAGCAGGCTCAGGGCGGCTCACATAAAAAAGCACAATAACAATAAATATATACATCTAAAAACAATCCTTCGAACTGCTCCCCGCTCGGCCGTCTCCCACCCTTTCCCAGCTAAATCACCCCAGTCTCCCCCCCGTCCCTGAGCAACAAATTTGCTCCCTAAGGCTGCAGGAGGGTGGGCAGAGGCATGGTGGACATGCACCTCATCTTGGAGTCCAAGCTTGGACCTCTGCTGCTGAGGGAGGGCAGGACGGGAAAGAGAGGCGGCCAGGAGAAAGAAGTCTTTCTCACCTGCCCCCCATGACGAAAGCGCTTCCCTCAGGTCTTGCAGGCCAGGTGTGGAGAACAGGGAACAGGGAGAAATGCGCACGGAAGAAGAAAGAGCGAGGCAGAAACACTCCCTCCCTAGAACCCCCAGAGGAGAGTCCTGCGCGTTGGGTTTCCCATTTGACATAGTCTACACAGTCTACACAGAGTATTCTGCCAATTAGCTTAAAACCTCATTTGCCTTCATCTTAGAGAATTCTGTAAGGCTGAATCCTGCCCTGATCCTTATTAAAGTGATTGGCAAGGCGGCTCACAGACTCCAGTGATCCAACAGTGAAGTATCACAGTTGTTTGTTTGATGAGGGATTAACATGAGAAACCTGCCCTTTCGCCAAAGACTCTCTTTGCATTTTTGTCCTGGGTCCCTTGAATTGGTGAAATGCTCTCTGAGGATTAAAGAGACTGCTGTCCTAGAGAGGTAATTGAGAGCGGCATGGGGGAAAGCCATTTCCTGCCCCCCCTTACAGAGTCGGCTTTCTGTTTCCCCAGGTTGCTGCTTGCATAGCTTGACGGGATTTATGGTGAGTTCAAAGGGGTTTTGAAAAGTACTGGGTTCGCCGCATGGAGGACTCGGATGACGACATGCGTTTGCACACGTTTATTGTACCTAACATCAGACTAAAACTAAAAACGTCCCTGCAAGGCCAACTATATACACTCCCACCCAGCACACCCCTAGTCCATTGGAGGATTTGAATTTCCCACCAAAGTGGCTATTGGTTGGGGCTGGGGGAACTAGGATCCTATGTTCCTATTGTTCAAGGGAGCCAAGCTCCTGCCTGTGCCGTGGACCCCTAGTGGTGGTCCGCGTATATAACACTCCTCTCCCCATAGTTCAGACCCTACCTATGTGACGTAGTCCTGCAAGTAGGCGGGGGGCCAGCGCTCACGGAGGGAATGCCTGGGGGCCGGCACTGGTTCACTAACCACTGGTTCCGGATGATTAGCTGTGCCCTGTGGTTGTGGCGCCAGTTGTGGTGTTGGCTGCTGTGCTGCTGGCTTGGTTACTTCTGGAAGTGTTCCGCTCAGCGTGGCCTCCTTGCTGTCCTTGGTGTCGGCTTGGACGCTGGGTTCCTGAATTGGTGTCCCCGCTCTTTTCATTAACTGGGGGGTTTCTCCGGCCTCCGGGAGCTGTCGCCTCCGTAGTTGGTCGATGTGTTTCTGCAGAAGTCGACCGTTGTCTGTTGACACCTCGTAGGAGACTGGGCCCTTGATTTTGGTGACTCGGCCCGCGATCCAGGGCGGCCCAGTCCCGTAGTTCGGGAGGAATACGGGGTCCCCTGGAAAGAACCCTCTCGGAGCCTTGCGCTGTTCGATCAACCTCCTTGAGTCCGGTGCCCGATCTGGGTGTAGTCGAACCAACAGAGTCGTCGGGAGGCTGGCCCATCACTAGTTCTGTGGGGCTGTGTCCGGTGACGGGGTTAGGGGTTGTCCTCTGAGTCAAGAGGAACTGGGCTAAGTGGAACTCCCAGTCCCCATCTGAAATCCGGCTTAGGGCTTCCTTCGCGGTCCGCACCATTCTCTCTGCCTGGCCGTTGGGCGGGGTGGAATGACGCCGTATCCAATTTCTCTGGAGGAACTCATGGAACTCCAATGATGTGAAGGCTGCCCCGTTGTCAGAGACTATAGTGTCTGGCAGGCCGTGTCTGGCAAAAATCTGGCGGAGTGATCGGATCACTGCCTTTGTCGAAGAGGTGGACATGGGGCTGATCTCTAACCACTTAGAGTAGGAGTCAACCGTCACTAAGAATAATAGTCCCTGAAATGCTCCAGCAAAATCGATATGCAGCCGGGACCATAGTTTGCGGGTTGACTCCCATGGCTGCATAGGGGCACTTGGCGGGTTGGGCCGAACTCTTGGCAGGCTTGGCACCTCCGGACCCATGACTCAATCTCGGCGTCGATCCCTGGCCACCACACATAGCTCCGGGCCAGTGCCTTCATCCTTACTATGCCGGGGTGTGCCTCGTGGAGAGCCGTGTCGCTGTCGCAGGGCGCCAGGGACCACGACTCGATCTCCCCACAGGAGACACCCTTTCAGGGCCGAGAGTTCGTCTTTTCGAGTGCTAAAAGCTGTGAAGTCGGCCCCCGGGGCTGTCGTAGGCCAACCCCTCACCACCCTGCCCAGGACCCGGGAGAGGAGGGGGTTATGGGCAGACTTGGCAGCGATGTCGGCAGCATGCAAGGGAGGTTCCAGGAGATTTTCGATGAGCAGGACCCCTGGCGCAGGGGCAGGTCCACGACTGGCAGCGGTAGCTGGCTCAGTGCGTTGGCATGACCCAACGCCTTGCCCGGGTGGTGTTCCAGGCGGTACTGGTAGCCAGCCAGAAACAGGGACCACCTGAGGACTCGGGGTGATAGGACTTGGGGCGTCTGCTTGTCTGCAGCTAATAGGCCTAGGAGGGGCTTATGGTCCGTAACAATTGTGAAAGGGCGCCCGTAAACGAAGTTGTGAAATGTTTTCACCCCTGCTACATTTGCCAACCCCTCCCTGTCGATTTGCGCATAGTTGCGCTCCGCGGCCGTCAAGGTTCTTGAGTAATAGGCCATGGGAACCTCATGGCCATCAGGGAGGACGTGGTCCAGCACTGCGCCGAGGCCGTAGGGAGAGGCGTCACACGCAAGGACAACCGGAAGGGATTCATCAAAGTGGGCTAGCACATCGTTTGAAATTAAAAGCACTTTCACCCCTCTGAATGCCGCTGCTTCCCTCTGGCCCCAGGTCCAAGGGTCCGACTTGTCCAGGAGCCGATGTAGGGGCTCCGCTACCGCAGCCTTGTGTGGCAAAAAGGTGTGGTAAAATTTTATTAGTCCCAAGAACGCCTGTAGTTCTGCTTTACATGTAGGGGCGGGAGCCTCCACTATGGCCTTCACTTTGTCCTTAGCTGGATGCAGGCCGGTAGCATCTACCCTGAACCCCAGGAAGTCCATGGCCAAAACCCCGAGGAGGCATTGCTCCCGTTTCACTTTGAGGCCAGCCGAGTCAAAACGTTGCAGGACGGTGCGGAGGCGGGAGGCGAAGTCGTCGGGGGACGCCGCAGCAATCAAGACATCATCGAAAAACGGCATCACTCCAGGGATCCCTTTTAACAATGAATCCATTAATTGTTGAAAAATCCCTGGGGCTACGCTCACGCCGAATTGTAGCCTCTTTACCTTAAAGGCCCCCCTGTGGGTGACTAATCTTAAATGATCAGGGTCCTCCACTGGTTTGGGTGTACATATCTCCACTGGAACTCAGCCATCATTTATGGTGCACTATAGGAAACTCTGTTCAAAATTACATATATGCACAAGAGAAAATGAAGAGTTGTAGAACTGTTATGAGGGTCTGGAGAAGAGGTAACCACTGAATGCTTCGTTGTGAGTTGTGAAGGACCTCACCTGGGAGCCCATGGACTTACTGTGATCAAAGGCCCACTTGCCCAGCATAGCTACTCTTCATCCTGTTCTCCATCTGTAGATTCCCTGGAGCCACCAGTCAATAATATTTCATTTGGTACTGAATGGAGTGGTTGCTGCTTCACCAGAACAAAATTCACAAGGTGGTGGGGAAATATTGGGATTCACACCCACTGACAGGATGGGGGAAACCCTGCCTGCATCTTGTGAACTTTCAGTGTGCTGTACCATTTTAGCAACAAAGACAGCTGTTTGTCAGATTTAGCTGTTTGATGGCATTTTTCTGTTAATTAGGGCAACAAAAATGCCTATGTCAATGTTGGCTGGTTTTGTTGCCACACTGGCCTCCAGAGGATTATTTTATCTGCCAGTTCTCTGGACAATAGGGCTTCCTTTGGAGGTGAATAAGGTCCATAGAGCTGATATTAAAAGTTCCTCATAGGACAGGAAATTGCTGTATTATCAAAGCCCAATGCATCTCCTTGCAATTGCTTTTCAACAGAAAGGGGAGCTGCACCCTTCTTTGCTACTGAGTCTTGAGAGGTGGGAAATGGGGCTCTGAAGCCATATACCCTATGGTAGGTATTGGTGGATTTCTCCCCCTGCCCAGCCTTTTGGCAGCAATGTGGCAGCCCCCCCCTCCCATTTACAACTGAACACCATTAACACCAGTGAAATTTTCATGGGCCACTACCTGTTTTATATAAACTATAAACCTGAATCTCATTAAAATTCCCCACATTTAAGTAAGTTTAACTTTCCTACTTAGATGACTAAAATGCAAACATGTATGAAGAAACCAGGAAAAAAGTATAACCAGTAAAACAGCATTTGGAACTGTATCATCAAATTACTACCCCTTCTCCCCATAGATAATTGGAATAGCAATGAAACTCCAATGAAAATAGTTTTGAACAGATAAACCCAAATCAAGTATCAGTGAGAGCCACAAACATAAGATACTACCCATGTCCTGTTTTACTTCATGCAAACTGAGTTGCCCAAAACTTTAAAATATACCCTTTTTAAAAATTGTCAATGGTAATTAACACCCCCCCCCAAAAAAAAAAGTATCAGATTTCTAAAGTACTTCATAACCTTCCATTGCCACCCAGTAGTTATCAAATATACTCATTGGTACCACAAATTAACCCTTGGAAGTGATTGCTGTGAGCCAACATGTCACTTTCCATATATCAAAATTGGCTGCAGAAGGAAAGAGTTAGTAACCAGACACCCCTAATCAAATCATGCTCATTTCCCCTCTTATCAAATTCTGGCACAAATCAGGTACCCATTCTTTGAAAGTATGTTTATCAGCATTCCAAGCAACTGGCAACTATTTGTGGTGGAAAATTCTTTGCAAGTGTACACACAGTAATATATGACAGCTGTCTCTTCCTACATAAGGTGATAAGAACCATAGTTAAATAGGTTGGACAACTGTAATGTACTAAGAGTTGCCTTTACAGAAATCTCAGAAGCTTCAGTTAGCGCAAGCTGTGGCTGCCTGACTTTTAACTACAATGAGTGTCTTTGAACATATTAACCTGCTCTCAAGCAAATCTACTGGTTATCTGTTTTCACCTGGTTCACATTAAGGCATAGGCCATACTATAAATTCAGAAAATCAACAACACAATTCATGTAATACCTTTTATTAGGGACAACCCTGTGGCACATAACACTGCAAGCTTTTGAACTCACCAGAACTCTTGATCAGGTCAAATGTTACAAAAATAAAAGGGGGGGGGAAGCAGATGTTTCAGGTAGGGTTGCCAACTGCTTACCTTTTTTTAGTGGGGGAGTTTGGGTCCCTGACCGGGAGATTCACACGCGCTGTGATGACATCACCCGGAAGTGATGTCATCATGTCGGGGACATCACCGGGCGAAGCCTGGCAATCGTCCAGAAAACTCTATGGTACCATAGAGTTTTCAGGCCGATTGCCAGAGCGTTGCCCAGCGACGTCCCCAGCGTGGTGACGTCAGTTCCAGGCGACGTCATCACGCCGGGCACGTCGGCCTAATCTGGCCACTTCGGGGGTGGGGTTCCCCCTGCCGGCTGGATCCGGACCAGCGGATTGGGGGCCCTTAGAGCAGGGTAATCCCCGCCCCCTGGGGGACTTGGCAGCCCTAATTTCAGGTCATGATATAAATGCCAGTATATGGTGGATATTCTGGCAGCAAAGAAGCAACAGATTTCCAATTGCTGCAGGCCAAGGGCCATAAAAGGCCAAGGCATAGGACTCCCCATACCTAAAGGACCTACGCCAGGAGGACGTCGCCGCCGAACTAGGAAGATCTTCCACAGATAACAACAACGAAAGTCTTCGGCTTTGAAACGGGGATGAGCACCGCAACCCTAGAGTCGGATTCGACTGGCTTTCGAGCAAGGGAGACCTTTACCTTTACTAAACTGCTCAGAGCCCTTAGGAGGTGAGCGGTATACAAATTGAAGGAAATAAATAAATATTAAATAAATAAAGGACCTCAGCTCTCTATATAAGCCCATACTCCTATTATGCTCTTTGAGTCAGTTTCCATTCATGGTGTCCTCTGGTAGATCCCTGATTTTATAGAACGGCCAACCACGTGAGGTCAGGAGGATGCCTTAATTGACAAATTTTAGGAAGACTTGTAAGGCTCTCCTCTTTTAAAGATCATTTCAGAGGGTAGCCGTGTTGGTCTGCAGTAGAACAGTTAGATTTCAGTCCAGTAGCAGCTCAGAGATCAACAAGATTTTTTTTGGGGGGGGGGTATAAATTTTCGAGAGTCAAAGCTCTGATGAAGGGAGTATCTGACAAAGGGAGCTCTGACTCTCAGAAACTTCTACCCTGAAAATTTTGTTGGTCTCTAAGGTGCTACTGGACTCGAATCTAGCTGCTCTTTTAAAGAGTCTTCTATTAAAGTTGGGCATTTTTAAATTTGTTTGTCATTCTTAGTTTTGTAGGCAGTCCAATAGGAATTCTCAACCTGAACATGGATTTCTGATGTGCTGAGAAATGGATGTACTTTTCTGATTTTAATACATTTTTGCCTATTGGCATGTTATGGGCTGACTTGATCCTTTAGGGAAAGGCAGGATAAAAAGATTTATTTTTAAAAATAATTAAATTTTAGCCATAGTCTTAACTCCCACAAAAATTAACATCTAGGACAGATAACATGTAGCTTCACAAACCGTATAATATAGCACTGTTAGTCTGCTTTGATGCACTGGGAAAACACATCTGCCATTCCAGTAAAGAAAATCAGATAGACATGTCCAAGATTATCCAACCTGTCTGCTCAAAACCAAGGAAGATTACTAGCACAAAGCAGTGCCTGGCTTTTATTTGCAGGTTGCTCCAAACCCTGATGGAACTCAACAGTACTGGCCTGACTAAGAGAACAAAAGGTGCAAGGGAAGCATTGGGATGCAAAACGCCTTAGGGAGGATTCAGGCTAGCAGGATTTTCCCTTGATCACACACTTTTACAGACTGCCTAGGGGCAGTCGCTAAGTTTGTCTAAAAGAGTGCAAATGTAAGAGTCTGAAGCTGCCATGCTTTTGATGAGCTGTGAAAACTGTGCGTGTTGAGAATATCATGAGCTTGAAGTGCACCTTATATTAGTACACTTCAAGGAAAATGCAATTCCATAAGACTATAGAAATCACTATGATACAGTGTAAATAACCTAATTCATCAGAACACATCATTGTTGGAGGATTGTTTGGTCCCACTTGCTTTAAAAAAATCAGATACCCTGGGACAACTTAAATTCATTAGGGTATAGTTTTTTTAAAAAAATAAATCAATGATTTCTAGAGGAATTACTGGAATGTGATTAAAGTAAACTTACTTTCATTCGTGCAAGCTGGATGGCTGAAAATTTCCTCACTCCGTGAACTAATGGAACCAATCTATTGTACAAGGCCTGTAAACAACATACATTGAAAATCACGAGAAAGCCCCTCAGATTCTTTCACTGTAGCACAATCCTGATCCTGACAGGAAACTGTGCAAGGTTCAGACATATGTTCTTGCACATCTCCAATTTTATCTCCATTCATTATATTCTTATTGAATTAAAAGGGAAACAAACAAAATTCCCGTCATCACGATGGTGGACTGGAAGGGAAAGAAGAAGTCTTACACAGGGCAAGGACCCAAGCACACAGAGCACATGTGGCACCTCTCTGAGGGATCCCTGTCAGTATGTCAGGGGTGGATGGCAAGTTTTGCTGTCACTGCAACAGAGTCTCCAAGTGCAGCACGTCATCTTTTCATATAGGAGTTCATGCTAACCATACCATTGTAATGGGAGAAATAAAGGGTTTAGCTGGGGACAACCCTGAGATAAAGAATAGACAGGGCAGACTGCCCATCTGACTTACAGGAAAATTTCCTGCTGGGCACTCGGGAGACTCTGTTGGCCAGTAGCAAGTAGAGACAAGCCCCAGCATCTTCCCAGCGTTACAGGAGTTACTTGGCTCAGATCCTTCAGCAGCAATGATAATCAGTATCAGCTCACAATCTTGCCTCCTCCCAGACCTTTACCAGATTAGGGGAGGAAGCGCTGGGTGAGCTAAGGCCCACTGCTACCACCCTTTCACTGAGTAGTTCACTGCAGCACTGGCTTGTACCACTGCAGGGGCCACTCAGCTTGGCTTGCTCCAGGGCCATCGCCACTTCCCAGTCTGCTGATAAGGTTAAACTTGCTCCCCACCCCAGCAACTTCAGTTGCACAGTGCTTTCTTTAGGAGGGGAGGGCGAGTTGGTTTTTATACCTTGCTCTTCACTACCTGAAGGAGTCTCAGAGCAGCTTACAGTCCCCTTCCTCTCCCCACAACAGACCCCCCCTGTGAGAGAGATAGGTGGGGCTAACAGAGCTCTGAGAGAACTGCTCTTGAGAGAACAGCTCTGAGAGAACTGTGACTGACCCAAGATCACCCAGCTGGCTTCATGTGGAGGAGTAGGGAATTAAACCCCGTTCCCAAGATTAGAGTCTGCCGCTCTTAACCACTACACCATCCCACTACACCAAAGAGAGGATGGGCAAAGAGCATAGCAGGCAGAGCAGTTTCTGGCTGAACACATGTGGTGACAGGCCAGTCACCTCTCCCTAAAGTGAGGTGTACTTTTGGGCACAATTCCAGACACATTTCAAAGAGCTGGTTCTCACCTTTAAGGCCTGAAATGCCTTGGGGCCAGGGTACCTAAAGGATAAGCTCCTCCCCTACTAGCCAGCCAGCCTGCCAGTTAAAATCTGCCTCTCAAGCCCTGCTCTCTGTGCCCACCCTCAGTGGTGGGGCAACTGGTAACTAGAGACAGGGCATTTTCTGTGGTGGCACCTTTACTCTGGAATGTCCTTCCTTTTGAGACTCGCCTGACACCTACTTTACTTTCTTTTATGTGCTAGGTTAAAACAATTTTTCTACATAGGCTTTAATTAGGGGTTTTATTTTATCAGGTTTTTAATGGTCTGCTTCTGTTTTATGGATCGTTTTTAATGCTGTGTTTTAATATTGTGGTTTTTAATTGTAAGCTGCCTCAAGCAGGATGCTGAGGAAAACGGCATAGAAAACATTGTAAATAAACAAGTAAATAAATCCCCCCCCCTTTTTTTTCTTATGAAACTTGTCTGTGTGGCCAAACGTTCAGGGAGCAGCCAGCTGGCAGGAAGACTCAGAACATTCTGGGAAGACAGTGAAAGAAGGAGGGATGCCCCAAGTCTGACAATCTTAATCTCCTAACCAGCTAGCAGAATTACCTGTGAATGGTTTCCACTACATCTTTAGACTGACCCATGAAGCCCCCCAGCTAAGCAGGTGAGGGAAAGAGATCTCCTGCTTCCTTTTAAAAATTAAGCTAATGAGGTGACTAAATGCTAGTTTTTAAATAATCTGTAAAAGCAGACTTCTGAGGCCTCTGAGCATGCGCTACACATCCCTCAGTATTGCTACTTCAGGGAAGCAAGGAAAGTGAGATTTTCTGTATCGACTCCTCAAGTTCTTTGCTCAGACATACAGCTGTCCAATATCCTGACTGACTCAAAGGTGGGCTAAGTCACCTGCTCTTTTTAAAGAGAACTGGCTGTCCTGCCTCTCCCTCATGTTTGACGGATTCCAGCTTCTTTTAGGCAATGCCATGACTGAGGGCAAATCCCTCCTTGCGGTCTCCACAGCTTGTTTTGCTGGTAGTGCAGCCTCTGCCTAGGCCAGGTGCTGCTTGGCTGGAGAGCATGTTAACCAGGCTTGGACAAGAGTGGAAAATACATGACTCAAGTTCGTACTTGGAGGATAAATAATAAGTCTCAGTCCAGAAAGCCAGCTGAGTTTTGCCTCTGTAACATTATCATGCTAGCGTTCACAGAAAGTCCACAAGGATGAAAGGTGCCCTTACCTTATCAGACTGAGTGTTTTCATGCAAGATCCTAGCATCGATAGCAGCAGCCAGCAAATTATTTGCTGCAGTAATGGCGTGGATATCTCCAGTTAAGTGAAGGTTGAACTACAGATGAATGAAAAATGAGACATATGTTTAGCACACTCTATTAAACAAAGACAGACCGGCAAAACCTGTCCAAGCACTTTCACCTGTGGGATTAACAACGTTACAAATCTTGCAGAAATATTACTAAATCATCATCATTAGGATTGAAGGGATTTAAAATGAGTTATATGGCCTCAATTCAACATGATAGAACTTTGCCAATAGACACCTAAGTACAGATGCATTAAGACAACTTGGGAAAAGAAGGGTTTTTCAAGATGTGTGGATTTTACTCACACTGCTAATTTTAGAAGACCTTTTTATTTATTGTGAGACTACTGGAGGAAAACACAACTGTGTGCTGTGACTCCATATCAAAACAGGTGTAAGAATCAACACTAATATACGTTGGAAACAAAAAACTGGAACCTTCTGCATAATCCAGCATAATCCAGCAAGGCTCTTTTTATGTTTTTGTGAATGTAACATCTTTTCTGGACACCCTTGGGCCAAACGGCCTCAACCAGCTCCAAAAGAGGATTTAAGCAGCTGTTTAACTTGAATCCCTCAAGTAGTTTTTCAGACAAATCCATGCTTGTCTCTATATATTTTCTCTGCTCCAATAGCAAGAATTAGAGTAATTTTTTCAAAATAACAATGTTGTAAGGAAAATTTAAGCTTACCTCTTCCATTGGTATAACTTGAGCATATCCACCCCCAGCTGCACCACCTACACAACAAAGGAAGTGCTTCCATTAAATTAGCATAAACATTCTGCAGAAAGGCATCAGACATATGGATTGTCTAGTAGGAATTACCAAGAAACTAACAAGTATCAGCAGTTCAAAATGCACAAGTGCTCATGATGTTGAATACTGCTGCATTTACAATGAACATAATGAAAAGCAGCAAACTGTCAACCACCAGTAAGCCAGAGTAGGTAGATTCTGAAATTGGAGGACAATGGAAAGCATTCTCTTTCAGTTCTGTATTCATGAACTACTTATATTATAGGACTCTGTGCTTAAAAATCTAATTTAGTATTTTCTACCCTGACTGGAAAAAGAAGAAGGGGACGGCAAAGGATGAGATGGTTAGACAGTGTAATTGATGCAATGAACATGAAGTTGAGCAAACTCTGGAGGATGGCGTGATGTGGTCCATGGGGTTGCGAAGAGCCAGACTGCACTGTGCAACTGAACAACAACAACAAGAACACCCTGACTGGCAGCCACTCTATAGGGTCTCTGGCTTGGAAAGGCCTTTCCCAAAAATTACTACTTGAGATCCTTTAACTGGAGGATCTGGACCTGGATCTTCTGCATGCATTGCAGATGCCTTCTCACTCAGCCATGACCTTCAAGCAAAGAGTACAATGATTAAGTATCACAGACAGTCAACACAAAGATGACCATAGCATATTATAATATAAAACGGCAAGTATCAAGTACCTTTAACACCAAAGGTAGGTCCCTGTGAAGGTTGCCTCAGGCAGGCAAAAGAATTTACTTTAAGGTGGGCTGTTAGAGCTTGAACCAGACCAATGGTCACAGTGCTTTTCCCTTCTCCAAGAGGAGTTGGTGTAATCCTAAAACATGAAGTTGAAGAGAATTCAGTATATTTACTGATGCCAGTCTAATGAAGGATATGAAAGCTGCCAAATGAAAAGTTTATAATTTCAGTTCATTGGTGCTGTTGCAAAATAACTAAATCCACATATATTGTGCTCAGCTTGAACCAACAATATGAGTGCCTCTATTGGTTAAGCAACTGAGAGGGCAAGGGAAAAATATCAGTTGTTTTGGCAACATAAAATGAAACCAGTACAGATTTATATTTAAGACAAAAGCTTCTTCAACCACCTTGAAATCCCAGAGGACAGTCTTATGGGAACTGTTATTACCTAATTGCTCCATGCGCGAATGGGAGAAAAGGATTAAATTTTGTACAAAAGCACCATGTCTCTTGGTAACGAAACTACCCTTCTAAAACCATAATCACTTTATTCATGCATGATATTATTTAGCACACCATCCAGGCTTCTATATATAGCAACATCAGCATCACAGTGCTTACACATGCATAGCTTTGTGTGCTACCCATACTTAAAGCATGCAACTGAAAGCTTTTGATTTGTACTACAACCTCAGTCCTGTGTGTCACATATGCTTCTGATCAGTTTAGGCTACATTGCTGCATTAAAGTCCTTGATGGCTGCACATCTGTCGTCCCTTTCAAATTGCAAGGGATGGACAATAAATCTCCATACATGTAGAGCTACTGCTACTAAGGTCAATGGAGAGGAATAAGGATGGTATTTGGATACCAGTTGAGAGCCTCTTCCTTCTATGTGATTATTGGGAGACAAAGTGGGCAACCCGTTTTTCTGACTACAGAAGTGGCTGCTATCAAGGTTGGTATTTCAAATTATATATGGATTAGGAATAAGGCCTGTTGTGGAAATAAATACAATAAGCTCTAGAAATAGGCTCTGGGTGGATGCCCTGGCCTTGGGCACTCGGCATCAATTTGCTGTGGCGACCTCAGCAGGGTACAGTAACACAGAGTCCACCGTTTTCTCCAGGGGAACTGATCTCTGCCATCTGAAGAGCAGTTGTAATTCTGAGTAATCTCCAGTCCTCACCTGGAGATTGGCAGCAATGGTTCCCCAGGAGGAAATGGCTCTTTTGGAGAGTGAAGTCTATGGCAGTGTTCCTGTCTGAGGTCCCACGTCTCCTCAAACCCTACCCTCTCCAGGCTCCACCCCTCAAATCTCCAGGAAATTCCCAACCTGGAGTTGGCAACCCTATCTCCTTGCCAACCATCAACCTACCTTTATCTGCTCCTCTGACTTCAGCTTTCCATCTCCCCCCCCCGCCCCCACAGCCTCTACCTAGGAAAAGTACAGTCTTTCTCCATAGTGGGGAACAAAACAGGACGGAAGCGACCTCAGCAGGGTATAATGGCAGAGTCCATCCTGCAAAGCAGCCATTTTCTCCAGGGGAGCTGATTTCTGCCATCTGGAGAGTAGTTTTAATTCTGAGTGATCTCCAGCCCTCACCTGGACTAGGGATGTGCATTCAGGTAGTCTGAACCGAATGCACCCTCGAAAATAGCCCATTAGGGCTGCTGCAGGCCGATTCAGATTCTCTGATCTGAATCGGCTTGCTGTCAAATTGCCGCCGAATTTCGGCAGCAATTCAGCCCCATTATATCCTATGGGCCATTGAAGTCAATGGCGAAAACAAAGGGTATTATCAGCTATGCTGCCATGCTTATGGGCAACAGTGCATCCCCTCCATTGTTCTCTATGGTGGGAAAAAAGTAACTTTTTCCCCACCATAGAGAACAATGGATTGGATAGGGGCAACCTGTTTGAGGGCCTGTAGAATTGGACCCCCACGTGCTTGGAAGAGGGCATTTAAGTTGAGATTTAAGTTATCTGACCCAAGTCATCACCCCCAGGCCGGCTTTCTTCGTTTCATCTTAAAGTACATGACATCCAACCCTTGGTTGTCCCTTCTTGCTGGTAAACTGCCAATGTCCTCACCTAACGAAGAGCTGATGCCCTCTCAGCTTGAGGAAACCTTGAAGAAACTTAAACAGTTGGATTGGGCCAGCACCGTGGCCAGGGCAAGACGCACCTGCTCTCCTTTGGCTTTGGGGTTGTCCCCTCCTGAGAGATTTCCTGACTTTTATTCAACGTTATCAATTCCATCTCACCGCCGCGCCTTTATGCTGGCCCGCTTAATTGGGTGCTTTCAGTACTGTTATCTGACTCAAATGCTGATGGACTGATAACAGCTAACGTGGCGCGGTTCCTGGCTAAGGTGGCTGCTCTCAAGAAGCATTGAAAATTCCAGCACTTCTGAAAACTTCGACACCAACTTTTAATCTTCGAATGATTTTAGTTAGTTGGCTCCGCCCCAAGTGTAGTTAGGTAATTTTTAATCTCTGGGCTCAGCCTGGGTTTTATGTGACTGTGATTATGTACCTTGACACATTTATGTCTATTTTATGTACTTATTTTATCCCCCTTTGGTATCCTCTTGGTCAAGACTTCGGTCATATAGACCTGTAATAAATTGAAATTGAATTGGACCCCCTGGTCCAATGCTCTTGAAACTTGGTTGGTATCTTGGGGAGAGGCTCCAGCGGCTACCCTGTTAGTGTGGAGTCTCTCCCTCAAGCCCCCTTCCCTCCAGCCCCCAGAATATACCCTATGTTTTTGCCATTGACTTCAATGGCCTATAGGATATAATGGGGCTGAAATTGACATTCGGCTGGCCGAAAGACTCCCAAATCTGCTCCTACTGATGAAACTGATATGTGGGAGTCTTACTGCCAGCCGAAATTGATTCTGCCCGATTCAGCCAAATCCGAATGGGCAGAATTATTTTTTTTTTTCACACCCCTAACCTGGAGATTGGCAGCAATGGTTCTGCAGGATAAAATAACTACTTTGGAGGGTGGACTCTTTGGCATTCTACTCAGCTGAGGCCTCTCACCCTCCCCCCAAATTCTGGCTTCCATAGATTCCACCACAAAATCTCCAGGAATTTCCCAACCTGGAGTTGGCAACCCTAGTCAGGACTGGCCCCAATGAATTCCTCAAAAAGGCCAAAGCTGAGAGAACCAAGCTTGGTTGCCTAGCGACAGCCACTGAGGGACAGTTAGCCTCACAGCAGGAGGAAGAGAATGGTTTGACAGCTGGTGGCTCACACCAGTGGCCAACCAGCCATGGAGGAGCCAAGCAGGAGAAGCGTCTTTGTCAGGAGAGACAGCTGTTTTGGCAGTTTACTCTGACAGGGAAGGCTGGCCAAGCTGGCAGTGGGTGGGAGAGAGGAGTGGACCCAGCCCCTAGCGAATGGCATGCGAGTACTCTTGAGTGGCGGTTGACAGGCCAATGGCTGATGGAGCAAACGGCACAGCCAATGGGAGAGCTGGAAAGTGCCAATACATTAGGGCTTATATATATAGGGGAGGGTAAAGGTTTCCATTGCTCGAAAGACAGTCGAATCTGACTCTAGGGGGCAGTGCTCATCTTTGTTTCCAACCTGAAGAGCCAGTACTTTCTGAAGACGTTTCCGTGGTCACGTGGCCAGCATGACTAAACATCAAGGCGCATGAAATGCTATTACCTTCCCACCGAAGTGGTACCTATTTATCTACTTGCAATTTCTTGCTTTCGAACTGCTAGGTTGGCAGGAGCTGGGGCCAGAGACGGGAGCTAACTCGGTCATGTGGTACTAGGGTCTCGAACTGCTGAACTACAGACCTTCCGGTCTGCAGCCCAGTGTCTTAACCTCTAAGCCACCGTGGCCATATATATGTGTGTGTGTGTGTGTGTGTGTATCTATATCTATCTCAGGTGCTTTTAACTCATATTTTCCCTCAACAGCATTTCCCTTTTGTCTGGAAAACACACACAACCACCTAGAGGTGCATATTTTTAAAAGTGCTTAATATTCTTAATAATTCTCATATGTTGACAAAAAAAGTGAAAACACCAAATAAAGTCTGCTGATACAATCATAAAGCAAAAGATAGCAGACTCCAGAATTACCTTCCTTAGTAGCAACAACAAAGCCAGGCAGAATGGGAACTGCCTTCCTGAATTTTTCTGATAGTGCTCAAATTTGAAAGTCTAAATCATCATGTTTAGTAAGATAATGGCACCCATATCTGAATTGTCAAAATCCTAAACACCCATTTTGAGTTCTGGCCATGTAAGTTCATAATTACAGTGGAATGGAAATACTTTAATTTTGCTGGACTTCAGCTCATTCCTTATGAAGTAAAAAGAAAAACCCAGTCAATTAAATATTATTTTACTTATATCCTTATAAAACTAACTTCATCTGTTAAGTAACACAACACATCTGAGATTCTGAATGTGACCAAAAATGTACAATCTAAATAAAATGCAAGCTTTAGAAAGATGAGAGTGTCCAATATTCAACTGACAGAAATCCGTAGACTTGAAATATTCATATGTACATTTCTGGTAGGAGGGTGAAAAATTTCAGGCAGAAGAAGAGAGTCAAAGGTCTGCCCTTGCAAATATTCAAGAATAAACTGCAAAAGAGAGAGCGAGAACTATTTTCAGAGCATTTGTGGATCTTTATTTTAGTCTCTTTGTGTGACCCATGTGGCTATTGCCCCCAAGTCCTATGAATCAAACCTGCTGACCAGGTTTAGATCAGCATCTAAAGTCCTACTCTGTGAGCTACCCACTTTGTGAAGGTAGCTGGGTGGCAACCACAGTGCTTTTTCAATGATGGCACTTCAGCTGTAAAACTTCCTCCCCAAAGAGATTTACCTGGCTCCCTGGTAATAATGTTTATTCTCTTGGACTTTTTGCTAATGCATTGCTGGTGTGCTTGTAGACAACCCTTGATTAACTTGTTTTACTGCTGAAGCAGTATTCTTATGTTTAACCAGCCTGTTGAATTGGAATTTTTATATATCTATTTTACTCTCAAGTTTTAATAATATACGCATAGGTGGCCCACAAGGAATCCAGCCCATCCTCAGGGTTTCTCCTGACCGAAGCAAAGTACAGTGGAATCTCTCTGACAGTGCAGA